CATTAACCAGAAAAAGGAAGTCAAAAGTTACGGACCCGTTAACGGGTCGCGTTATAATTTTAACGCTTACGATAACGTTGTGATGCCCTATATCCCGGTAAGGACCCCTGTTGGTGATACATAAATACTTATTGAGACTTATCCCAAGTTATTGAGCACTCTTAAGGGGAGGTTCTGGTGAAAATGCTATTTTCTCCTAAATAGGTCCCACTGTGAAAATTTGTTAAAAATTTGATGTCTTATCAAGTATTTATTAAAATTCTTCATTAGGGAGGCACATTCTATGCCCTGAATCCAGTCGCAGAGCCTTTTTCTCCCATTTAGGCTATAACTTTAAAAATCTTCTTGCGCATACTATTTTGTCGTAAAAGGTTGGCTTAGACATTTTTCACTTCTTCGATTCATTTTTTAAAAATGCCGGCATGCCCATCTCAAAATGTCAATTGCACTTTTATTCGCAAGCTTTCTAACCAAGCATTTCACTAAAATTGATCAAAAATGTACAAAATAGACAAATTTTAGGGACTTTTCAGCTTAAAAATCTAATAATTAATAATATTATGGAAGTTTTTAGCTATGCATGCCGGAATCTTTTGAAAATGAGTCAAAAAGTGAAAAATGTCAAGGTCAACCTTTTACGACAAAATAGTATGCGCAAGGAGATTTTTTAAGATACAGCCAAAATGGGCTCAAAAAGACTCTTCGACTGGGTTTACAGCCTGGCATGTGCCTTCAAAAGTCAAATTTTAGTCTCCCCAATGAAAAATTTTATATTCCGAACAAATTATGACTGTAGGATCCATTTGGAAAATGGCAAGATTTTCACCAGAACCTCCCCTTAAAAGCCTACAAAGCATTTGCTTCATAACTACGAAGAAAATGAAAGCGTTGTAGAATTGCTTCGTATCATGAAGAAATGCTTCGTATTACAAGGGATTTTGCTTACGAAGCATTTCTTTTATGATTTTACAATGCCTTTATTTTCTTCGTATTACGAAGCGATTCTTCGTAGAGTTTTTACTGAAAGATTGACTTTTGGCACCAGTGTACTCGCTGAGATATATCTCACACTGCTAATCCAAGTGTGGACAAGGTCGGTAGCTTGGACCACGATGGTCCACGCTAGGAAACGTGGACCACGAATGATCCACGCTACCTAGCGTGGACTTGGTCCACACTTGGATTAGCAGTGTAGCACACTAAAACATGGGTTCGAATTTCGAGAAAAACCACAAAACCACAATTTTGGTCAAAAAGGTCTCAGAATTGTAGAGACTCGGACTCATTTCTAAGGGTGTTGTGATATAGTACTCAAGTGCGGAGCTCTGGAGTTGCCCGGGAGCTGCTAGGGGTTGGGTCGGGACTGGTTAGGGCTGGGCCAGGCTCAAAATGGACCGGACACTTGCTCAGAATCTCGAAGTCAAGAGGAGCAATTGCTCTAAGCTCTCCAGCAAAAACAAAAAAAATCATCTTGAGGGGTATTGCATTCAGTGGCAACAGCCTGAAACAGGCTAGAACTCGCTACTACGAAGACAATGGCATTGTAGATTATTTCTATCTGAAAAATGCTTGTTTTACAAGGGATTTGTTTCGAAGCATTTTTTAATGATTTTACAATGCCTTATTTTCTTAAATTACAAGTTTCTTCGTAGGTTTTACAAAGCTTGACTTTGGCTCCATACTCGCAGGGCGACCATGCTTCCAAGTGTGGAGAGGGTCGTACTCCAACATGGCCCGCTGGGAAAGCTTGGCCCCGAATGATCAGCTACCTTGCTATGGAACAAACACTTGGATTAGCTGTAGCCGCAAACGGGTTCAAATCGCGAGTAAACCCCACCCACTTTGGTCAACCATGGCCGTTGTGACTCGGACTCATTTCTAACGGCGTTGTGCTCTGTTCAGTCCCGGTGCGGAAGTTGACCTGGAGCTTTAGGGGTTGGTTCGGATGGTTTCTTGGCCAGGCTCGAAAGCACCGAAATCGCCAAATCTCAGTCAAGATGAGAATTGCTTAAAGCAGAAAACAGAAAATACGCATCTTGGGGTATTGCATTCAGTGGCAACAGCATTAGGCTGGCATCAGGGGGTGGCAACGGCCTAGGGAGCGCGTTATGCCATGCTCGAGCGAGGTGCAGGGGTTACTTATTTTGCTTCGATTGTAAGATCTAGGCCGTTGATTGCAAAACGCTTTGCACAGATCAAAAGAGCACAAAATTTTGGGTGCATAAGACCTAAAAGGCTGCCCGATACTTCCAATTCAACCGAACATGGGCGGAAACCTTTACATGAACATGGCGCATACGAGTTTTTTCCTTAATTTTATGATTTTTCGTGTTTTTTGGTGTTTTACTGCACCTTAATATTAGGTAAGGTGGAAGTTTTGAGTGGGGCAATTAGCCTAATGCACCCTAAATTTCAAGCCCTTTCCATCGGTGCAAAGTGTTTTGAAAAACACGGTCTAGTTTTCATAATCTCGAAGAAGTGCGCAACCTCTGCACTGTCGGCGCGAGCATCGCTTCACGCTCTCCCTAGGCCGTTACTAACCCCTGCTGGCATTCCAGTACATAAGTTTTTATCTGTTTCTCAGGTCATTGCCTCCTTTTCGACGTTCCTCGTCATTCTGATCCAGTTTGATTCCGGTACAGACGCAATCTACCAATGAAGGCGGATGTACACCACACTCGAGTCCACCAGCTTCCTTCAGCAGAGACTCACACGGGGTGTAACTACTTAGTAACCGAAATGTATAAACTTTAATGATCGAAGACATCAATACATCCGACTTGTTAATTTCTCAATTTTCGATAGCCAGAATCTACATGATGACTGAAGCATCCCTTCGTCGCGAGGAGAATGCAGCGAAAACAGTTTAAAGTTGACGTTAACCTCCCCAATCACGCAGGAACCGTTTAATTGATACACTGGGGCCCTTTGACATCAACCAAAAAGTTTTAACTTCTAACATGTGTAAGCGAGGCGAGACGTTAAGTCGAACGTCAGAAAAATGTGTTTTTAAGTGTATGGGACGAGGTGGCAACTTTATTTTACACACCAAATTTTTATTTTGCGTCCTGCCAAAAACCTCTACATTGACAATCAAGTGCAGCCATTAGCTCTTACTTCGGGCTAGTGCCCTTTCTCGGATGTAGACCAAAAGCCTCTATTGAACAAACAAACAGGCTACGGCTCGCCCTTACCTCGAACCGAGTTACTTGCCACTGGATTTGCAGTGTACCCTGCCAGTTAGGATTATTTTTTTAGGACGCGTCGAAGTGTCACGCCAAAAAAGGCATGACAAAAGTCACGCCAAAAATCGGCGTGACTCTGAATTTGCGCAAATTTCCTGTCATGCCGGTTTTTGGCACGACTTTTCTCATAAAACGCATTGTACGCACCAATCCACATGGTACATTCAAGCAAGATGACGGCTTGACGCACATGTTTTGCCGTTTCGGCGTGAATTTCCTGTTACACCAATTTTTTGCGTGACTCTTTGCCGCGCCATAATTTGGCCATGTGTCCGACCATTCAATTTTCAGTGTGACGTGACGTCACACAGGCTAGACCGCGACAGCGCGTGATTCTGGATTATCTGTACTACTGCAGTCGGAGTCTGAAAGGATTTATCGCCCTGTCATGTCTGCCCAAAACAAGCTCATTGGCAAAATAGAGCACTGACAAAGATCGACGATCTTTTCGGGCGAGTCAATGACGAGACTTTTACACTCTAAATCCAAAGGTGATACTTTTCGTATCTTGTTTTGGCGATACAATTGAGTATCGCCAACAAACGACCTTACCGAAAAATCTTGCCTTCGAAACAGCGATGTACAAAAGTATCGCCAAAATGTGGCGATACTTTGGAGTACTGCCGAGATTTGGCAATTTTACCTTTGTTTAAATCAGGGGGACTACACTCTACCAAAAATGTCCTGTCAATGCCGTTAATTTATTACCAGTTTTCACCGTAGGTCAGTTCACAGCGTTTACTGTGATCTGCTCACGCGATTCACTGTGATCTTGTTCACGGTGTTCACTGTGATCTGGTTCAAAGTAAACACTGTGATCTGGTTCACAGTAAACACTGTGAGTTTGACGCCGCTGAGCACTGAAGTGCTGCAAAGTAGGCTCCAATTCACGGCGTTTACTGTGGCCAGATCACAGTGAACACTGTAACCGAGATCACAGTGATCGCCGTGAACTAGTTCACAGCAAACGCCGTGAATTGCATAACAGCAAACATTGGTAATAAATTAACGGCGTTGACAGGACATTTTTTGTAGAGTGTAGTTCTGTGTTTATTGCCAAATTTTGGCGACAACCAAAACTTTTTGGTAATGCCGTTTGTTGGCGATACTCCATGGTCTCGCCGTTGGAATTGCAGTGTAACGCCCCCTTTGATGCTTGCGAACGGAAAGAGCTATGATGATGCATGCCTCTTTCCATGTGGGTGCGTTCTAAATGTCTTACGGTCAAAGGCTGTACCAACATATTATGGTGTACACTTTCTTCATAATGCAATGGAAATTAGACTCGGAGATTTGGTACCGTAACAGGTGTACATCGTCGGCCACGCCGTGACGTGACCGGCCGTGACGTCGCCGATGGCGTCCTTCCGGGGCCACCACGATGACCCGCATGTGGCAGCGTTGAGACCTCCGGGTTTTACGAGGAAATCAAGTTTCTAGAGTTGCAGAGAGCCCAAAATATTCTGCATGTTGTCAATTGCAGGATTTTTCCTCGGATTTTTCACATTCTTTCGAGTGCATGTCGTGTTCACGCCGTGTGGCGGTCAGCCCGACGTTATGACACGATTCCGATTCACGTTCAAACGAATGAACAGGGATCAACAAAACCGACCTGGTGTGAGTTTTCTATCGCGCTAAAAATAATGGCGTGTGAATTTTTTCATCCTGCACGCCAACGGCTTGATATCACGCCATTGAATTGAGACTGAGTGCAGGGAGGGCCGTGCAGCCGCGCAGTGCTCAGGTAGGCCGAGCGTGACTTTGTTGAGTGCAATCCGGCGTGAGCCGGAGCAAACTTCCGACACAAAGCGACCAGTAACTTAATGGCAATTCAGCACACACTAAAATGTTTTTTCCAAGTTTTGTACGAGACATCGCAGTTTTTAGTGGACACGAACTTTTAGTACAAATTCGTACGATATTTTGCACAAAATGAAGAATTTTGTACAGTTTTTCGAACAAAAATTGCACGAAAAGTGCGTGTGCTCAAAAAATGTGATTTCTTGTTTAAAATTGTACATAATATTAAGGTTGCAGAGGTTGATGTGACACAGATAGTGTCGCATAGGCATTCGGCCATTTCCACTTAACGCCGATGACGTCACTTGCAAAGCCAGTGGTAAGTTTGCCTACCACAAGATTGGCAAGCCGTTTAAATGTCAAAAATTGGCAAGCTTGGCCCGGCAAAACTCCCCAGCTCGCGCCAAAATTTGGCAAGCTTATGAAGATTTCCGACCAAAACATGCGAGATTTTGGCATTCAAAATGGCTTGCCAAATATGTGCCAACTCTACAAATCAAAGAGTGTACATGGTACGCTCTAACTGGAGCATGCCTGCAAGCACGCTCTAGCTAGCGCATGCCTGCCAAGCATGCACTAACTAGTGCATACATGCCATGTACACGCTTCCTGATGCAGAAAACTCCCTATCCCTTATGCAGTAAATGTATGCTTCAGTGAGCGTGTACATGGCATGTATGCACTAGTTAGTGCATGCTTGGCAGGCATGCGCCAGCTAGAGCATACTATGTACACTCTTTGATTTGTAGAGTGCCAAGCTAACTTACCACTGTCTTTGCAGTGGTTACCTTCATTCGAGCGATTGTTTGTTTTTGGCTGCCCAAAATTGAGTCACCGTTGGCTCGCCGCCCCAAGCGACGATGCGTGCGTTACCCAAGGGCGATGGTGGTGACTCTCATACTCAGAGAGGACAAAATCGCGAGCGTAATATTTGGTTTACTCTTACCGTAATACTTACGTGATAGCCGTCAATGAAGGTTAAGACAAAAAAGTTATCGTCAGTAAGTTCATCGTTTTCGTTCCAAAGGGCCTTCCAGGGATCCTAAACTTACCTCATAAGCGCATCATAACGTTATCATAAGAGTTGAAGTTATTACCCTTAACTTCTAACATCTTTTCAAAAGGGCATAGGTTATTTTTTTATGTCTCGACTTTGTGTGGATATACTTTTGCAAGTACACTCTGTCTTACGAAGGAATTTCCCATAATACGAAGGAAATGGCGCAAGCATAATACGAAGGCGGTTTTTGGCCCGTCCCGTTTATTTTTTGTAAAAAAAATGACGGAGGGACGGGCATATAGTATGATGCATGCTGTGCGTCCGTTCGTCCGTTCGTTCGTTCGTTCGTTCGTCCGAGGACTTCCCGTGGTCCGATCTTGACCAAATTTGGTATGCAGCCTCCTTGGGTGACCCTAAGAACCGCCCGGTGGCAGCAAATCCGATCCGAGCCCCGGGGGCGCTGCTGCAGGTGCATCATGGTCTACATGGGGTCGAGGAGGATCTCGGCAACGAATGCAGCTAGGAGGGCATGTAGGGGTATTTTCGGAATCGGGGCGACGAGAGAAAACCAATGGTGCCAGTTTCGAGCAAATCGGAGAAGTTCGGACCCGGGTTCAAATCCCAGCGGGGTATTTTTGGAACATTCTTTTTTTCGAGTTTTTGCATTGTTTCTGATGTTTTTGAGGGTGCTGATGACGAAAACGACATTTTTTTTAACCCCAGACTCAGATTTAATTCCCGTCAGGGTCAAACATAGGAGAAATTCGTACGTTTCTTAATGTACGGGACGGGCCAAAGTTGCCGATGTAAATCGCTACTTTTCCTGTTATTCTTCGTAGGGTAACGTGCCCAGTGATGGCCACTTTTAGCGCACTGATGCGCCTTTAACCCCTTTACTAAGCGTCCCGCACGTCGTACCGGTATGAAAATTTCCAGAACCATAATAGAAGGATAGAGTAAAGGTTCCCAAGGGTAGAAACCAGCAAAATAAAATTTATTCTTTGAGAAAAAATTAACCAAACTATCAGTACAGTTTGCCCAGTAATGGCCACCTTTTGCCCAGTGATAGCCAGGGTCCCGGCCCAGTGATGGCCACACTAGGGTTTGAGCGCTTTGTTTTCGTTTTTGACAGTTATTGAACCCAATTTCAGCTGGTTTGCACCTTGTTCGAAGCTACAGGGGTCACTGTGTCTTAGGAAACGGAAATCAGTGTAACCCTGGGAACCTACCCTGGGAATCTACTTGTGTTTATACCATAAATATAGAATTAAAGTTAAAATTTCAAGTTTGCGATAGAAAAGATTTGGTTTCCGAAATGATTTGATCTCGAGAAGGTGAACATGTAATGTTAAGCATGTTATAGGTACAGACTTCAAATTCAAAGGTTTATCGGTGTCAAAAGTGGAAAAAGGTACAAAATGCATCTTTTTTCCTGTTTCAAGGCCGATAACTTCTGAAAATCAAGCCTGAACCTAAAACATGCTTAACATTTTTTGTTCATCTTGTTGAGGTGAACGCGTTTCTGAAATCGAATTGTTTCTATCGCATATTTAAAATTTTGACTTAAAAACAAAACTTACTGTACGTACGGAGTCTAAACAGTTTCCATGGTACCGTGAATTCAGGTCCCCATGAGGCAGGCGGAGTGAGATGCCAGGTCAAAACCAAGATATTTCAGGCAACAAACTAGACGGACATGCACGGCGTCGCATCGCTCGTTGCAAAGTCTGCCTCAAAACACTAGTGTGGCCATCACTGGCTGTGCACTGTTTTGCCTGCCCAGTACTGGCCACCACCCCTTTTCCCTCAAATGTAACGAAATTTCAAAAAAACTTGCATGTTATGGTTAACTTGCCCTCTTTCGATTCTTCTGACGTGATGTTTCTCTTGCACGGACCTCGTATTCACAAATGACAAGCGACGCCGTTAAAGCCTGCGCTAATCTGGGCCGGTAAGGAAAGCAACGTTCGACCGGCCGAGAACGCAGTGTTCAGCGCGCTGCGCCCGTGCGGCCGTCCCTAACACTAAAAAGCTGAAATTTTTTCGGCGTTGTGTTGTCAATATGTGACAGTACAAAACCTCAAAAGCTCAATTCTTTAACTAATCTCGCCTGGTGGGAAAGTCAGCGCAAAGTGTGAAGTGGCCATCACTGGTACCCTGGCCATCACTGGGCACGTTACCCTATTACGAAGGTTTTTCTTTGTATCTTACAATGAAAAAGCTAAAAAGATTCGTATTTCGAAGGAATATTGCTTCGTATTATGCTTGCGCCGATTTTACTGTAACATACGAATAACATAGGTGAAATTTCATTGTAAGACATTTAGAGTGTACTTTCATACGTCCGTACCCCTTAACCCTTAGGGAACATAAGTTAAGGATCTCTGGGGCCTTCTCAGTGGGGTCAAGGTAGATGCCATTTTCGTTATCAGCGTCCCTAATTACGTACGAAACAGGGTGAAGCTCCAATGAAAATATCGGTTGTATTCTACCCTGCCGCGAAGCGAGCCTAGGTTTGAGGTTTTAATGTATGTCATTTTCGTTTTCATCAGCCTCGGAAACGTACGTCACAGCGTCAACGTCAAACTTCAGTAAAAAAAATTTGGTATTCCCTTGACATCTTGTAACTGGTCCAATGTTTGAGCCCCCTGCCTGAGTACTCTTCGGATGCCAGCATGAGGCACCTAGACTTCCACAATTAACGTTTATTCTGATGAACTACCGTTAACGATATTCAGAAATAACGTTTATTTCAAAAGACTAATGTTTGCCCACCCTGCCTTCAGGTGACATCTACCGTTGAAAGAGAGCTACGATGACTCCGGTTATTGTTATGCTGCTTGTCTGTGCAATGTTGGTGTCCTGCTCCAACAATGTCGCGGTACTGCTGAAATTCTTACACAATCACTGTGGCAAAAAGGTACGGAAAATTCTGTTAATTTTTTTGCCAGGATTCTCCGTAGCCCTCTTATCAATATTCTCCGTAGGCTCTTACAGAATTCTCCGTAGGGCCGTACAGTATTCTCTGTAAGTCCGCACAGTCTTCTCCCCCCAGGGCCGTAGGACCTGGAAGACTGTATAGTCCTACGGAGATCACTGTAAGGTCCTACGGAGAATACTGTGCGGTCCTACGGAAAATACTGTAAGAGCCTACGGAGAATATTGATAAGGGGGCTACGGAGAATTCCCACAAGCTGCTTACAGAATTTTCCGTAGGTTTTTGCCACAGTGATCGATGGAAGTGAATCCGAAGGAAGAGGCTACGTTGCGCTGAGGGTTTACGAGTGATCTATTTACTTTTGGCAGGGGCCCTATTATATGGACATTCTTCAGTTCGGAAACTGTTTATCAGAAGAGGTCGGAGACGTTGGTGACGACATCGTGGTCAACGGGTCCGCACGTCACTATCGTGGCTTCAAGCACTTCCTGTTTTCAGGAGACATAACGGTTAAGAATGGGCTTGGAACGCAAGGCGCCAGTGCAGTAAGTTTCGTTTTACTCCGGTTTCCGGGTGAATTACTTGACGCATCAAAACGCAATCTGAGTTAAGGGAGGGTGGGGTACAAAGGGACACGGGGCACAATGGGACACTGTCAAATTAGCCACCTTGCGGTGTTCGTAGGATGTGCGGGTTACGCTCGATTATAGGCCATCAGTTGACATGTTACCGTCGAGTCCCCTAAAGTGGGACGATTTTTACGGAAAATCGTCTGTTATTCACAGAATAACGATGACACCGAAAATCGCCGGGGATTTAAGAATCTTCATGTCAAAACACGTCTTTTACCGAAAACAAAATTTTTTTCAGCCCATGGGGCTCCAGTAGGAGCAGCAAGAACCGTGTCCCAATTTAGGAGCCAAAGTCTCCTAAAGTGGGACAAAGTCCCCTAAAGTGGGACACGTTCATTCGTTTTCGCCCAAAAACTGCAGTAGCAAAAAATTTCTTAAAATGTATTATGTCCTAAATTAAATTTGAAGCAAGATTGGTTCTGAAGTCTTTTTCGATATCTCGACTGGTTAAGCTGATATGAGCCTCTTCAATCAATTAGATTTCCTTAGATATATTTAAATTAGAAACAGCCGTAGCGCCTAAACCAATTGAAATACGGCGAAAACCAATAAAACAAAATGGTCTTAAAATTTAATTTCTGACCAAAACCATTTTATAAATTTTTTTGCTCAGGTCATATTTTATAAGTTTCGAAATGCACGGCAAGAAATACATGTTGAAATTTTGAAAATTAAAAACCGTTCACCCGGCAACTTTTTTTCTAAGAAAAATTTTGTTCAAAATATGATTTTACGCAAGATTTGTCTTATGGTCGATAACGATATCTTTGTAGGTTAAGCCAAGAGGAAGCATTTGCTTTCAAACATTGATTAAATTTTGTGCTGACTTAAAGCGTACCGAATAACCGTACTTGCCCGACTGCCTGGGCCTCCAAACCGACGACCTGGCAACCTAATATATACAAGGCAGCGTTTGTAGGACGCTGGAGGTGAATGTAACGCCTCTGAATCGGTCAAAACCTAAAAGAAACGAAGGAAATGCATGTGTCCCACTTTACAGCCCCTCAGAAGATTGCTTCCCACCGTAAAACGAAGCGTCGGAAACAAATTTTCTAAAGTGCATCTTGTAGACAAAAGAACGCGCTACAACATGTCTGAAGTCTAGAATGGTCCGAGCATCAACGGCTCGAAGCCCCGAATCCGCGCTAGACGTCTGAAAAAACTTCTCTTTTTTTCTGCATCAAATTCCAATTTTCAAGATTTTTTGGGGGAGGGGGTATGAGCGGGAACAAGACACTCTGTGCGGATATGGTCTTGGAGGGGTCCTACCGTCTCAAAAACATTTTTTACCTCGCAAAATATCCACGCGTTGGCCGTTTACGGCCTAAAATAGGGAAAATAGTCAAAATGTCCCACTTTAGGGTTCGTGTTCACATTTAGGGGACTTGACGGTACTCTCTACAAAAAATGTCCTGTCAACGCCGTTAATTTATTACCAATGTTTGCTGTTATGCAATTCACGGCGTTTGCTGTGAACTAGTTCACGGCGTTTACTGTGATCTCGGTTACAGTGTTCACTGTGATCTGGCCACAGTAAACGCCGTGAATTGGAGCCTGATTTGCAGTACTTCGGTGCTCAGCGACGTCAAACTCACAGTGTTTGCTGGGGACCAGATCACAGTGAACACTGTAACCGAGATCACAGTGAACGCCGTGAACTAGTTCACAGCAAACGCTGTGAATTGACCTACAGTGAAAACTGGTAATAAATTAACGGCATTTACAGGACATTTTTGGTAGAGTGTAGTTTCACAAAGCGGGAACTCTATTCGACTGAGCGTTCTCTCGGCAGGTCGACGCAAAGTGCGAATGTAAGAAAAACTGGGCAAAACTAGCAAGACCGGAGAATTTTGTTTTTCCTCTAGCATTATAAGTATTTGTCGCACGTTCGTGGCGAGTTCACCAGTGCGTTCGTTGGTCTTTAGAGGTTCAGCGAGACTTGTCTGGGCGCTCTGGCGTTTGGGGTCTAAGAGCTAGAGCGTGTCCAGTCCAGCGTGTCGTTCGGGGCACAATGGGATGTGTTACTCAAAGGGCTTTCAAGTTTTGGTTGTAGTTTATGTATAAATGAAGCCAAACCGTACGTTAATTATGTTATTCACAAGAATTTTGGCATCACACATTTCTTTTGTGCTTTGTATTGTATTTAACACTGTATATTCTTTATTTGTTACACATCTTACTCCGGTATTTTTTGAAAGGCAACCAGTAACGAAAGTTCTATTTTAAAATAGTTCGTGACGAAAATAGATCAAAACCTATTGCTCACAATTTTTTTAATGCTCCTTCGCTTTATTTTTAGCTCATAAAAGGGTGTGTCCCAATGTGCCCCGGGGCTGTCCCATTGTGCCCCAGCCCGGGGCACAATGGGACAGGTGCCACTTTTTGGCAAAATGTCTCCACAGACCAACAATGCCGTATAATCAATTTTTCGTTCAGATAAAAGTTATAGATAAATAAACAAAGAACATTTTGAGCTATCGGGAGACATTCTAGCTCCAACGGTCTCGGATCTAGGCCAAAAACAAAAAAAGCGTCCCATTGTACCCCACCCTCCCTTATCTCCTATCACTAGGTATGTTGAACGGAGTCATATTGACTTTGGTTTTCGCGAAATTGAGAGTGTAAAAGGGGTCAAGTTAAGTTACATCTTCTTTCGAAATGGTGTACGGGTGGCCTGGGGTGGGGACAGAGCGCGGTGGGCTGCCCACCTCACAGGCGCGCCGCACCTCTTCAGCGCATCTCCCTCTCGCAGGTTATGTCAGTTCCAGTGCTCGCAGGTTATGTCAGTTCCAGTGCTCGCAGGTAATGTCAGTCCCAGTGACCACGGGGTAGGTGAGAGTCCCCCCAACATACACACACAGAGAGAAATTCCTACAAAGAACTGCTCGTTGTAATACCTTCGCAGCCTACGAAGGAAATCTTTTGTAAAACGAAAGATTTTGTTGGTAATACAGAGGAAAAATCCTTCTCAGGCTGCGAAGAAGTTTAACGTAGGCCACATAGGATTTTTCCTTCGTATTGCAAATAAAATCGTTCGTATTACTAACGATTTCCTTCGTAGGCTGCGAAGCCTTCGTTTTCTTTATATTACAACGAGCAGTTATTGTAGGGTTGTAAGTGTGTTACTAAGGTTGGGTTCCACCCCTCATTTTAAACCATCAAATGTTTTATTCGAAAAATTTAAAAATGACCGCCTTAGAACCTATCGAAGGATTGGTAAGACCGACGTCACGTGGGGGGAAGGGGTCACTAAATGGCCGCCCTCACGGGGGCGTCTTTACCACTTACCTTGTGGTAGTTCAGTTATTTTTTTAACGAGGCAATGAATGTGTTTTGGCCCCAGTAAACCATGGTAACTAATGAACAATGCTGACGGGACCACTGTAATGTCTCACTACATAAATTCATGAACAAGCTTCCCCAATCTTCGTTACAGCTGACGAGCTACATAGCTAAATGGGATCCTGTCTCTGGCTGGAAAGAAAACTTCGTTGTGCTAAGGATTGGAGAGTCTTGTCGAGCAGTCGAAACATATGTTCCACCGTTTAAGGACTTAATATGGAAGTATTATCCGGGTGTACCGATAAGATGCCCCATATCGGATGTAAGTAGGATGCTTGTTCTCAGTGCCTAAATTCGATGAACATAGTACCCCAGGAAAAGCTCTCGTTGGAATCGCACGGAATCGCAGTGTATAAAAAAACCAACGTGTTCTCATTTTCTGTTTGCTGCTGCTGAACAGGGGACGTATTCAGTGTACAACATTTCTTCTCACTACGACACTTTCACCTTCTTCCCTGCCGCGTTCTATGGCCGGTTCCGCTGCAACACGCTATGGAGAAGTTTGAAGACGCACTCGAAGAAGCCAATCGCATGCGTTCGGTGGATAGTGGAAACTACCGAGAAGGTCGTCACTGGCTGATATAAATTCATTGAAAGCTAACAATGCTGAGCTTTAGTTGCTTAGTCCAAAAAGAAATAATGACGCTAACTGCCGACAGAACGCAGTGTGTCTGCTAGGCACCCTCACAGAGGATAATGCTGTCTGCCCTTTGTGAAACAAGACATCGAATATTGTCTATTTGCACTGGCCCCGGAGAAAGGGGGAGGGATTAGGCGGGGCGTTGAGGTTACGAACTGTAAACTTACTTACTTCCGTCAAAATATTTTTTCTTTGGGTGCACACTGAAAATCAAATAGTGATACATCTCACTCTCTGAGGCGTGAGACATAACTGTCTCACCGAAAATAGGGTGGTACACTCTAAATGTTCTACAGTGAAGACTCTCCATATTATGGCGAAAATGTTCCATATTATGGTGGTGCAGCTGACTTCGTTACATACCATTGAGAATTCACTGTAGGGTAACGTGCCCAGTGATGGCCACTTTTAGCGCACTGATGCGCCTTTAACCCCTTTACTAAGCGTCCCGCACGTCGTACCGGTATGAAAATTTCCAGAAACATAATAGAAGGATAGAGTAAAGGTTCCCAAGGGTAGAAACCAGCAAAATAAAATTTATTCTTTGAGAAAAAATTAACCAAACTATCAGTACAGTTTGCCCAGTAATGGCCACCTTTTGCCCAGTGATAGCCGGGGTCCCGGCCCAGTGATGGCCACACTAGGGTTTGAGCGCTTTGTTTTCGTTTTTGACAGTTATTGAACCCAATTTCAGCTGGTTTGCACCTTGTTCGAAGCTACAGGGGTCACTGTGTCTTAGGAAACGGAAATCAGTGTAACCCTGGGAACCTACCCTGGGAATCTACTTGTGTTTATACCATAAATATAGAATTAAAGTTAAAATTTCAAGTTTGCGATAGAAAAGATTTGGTTTCCGAAATGATTTGATCTCGAGAAGGTGAACATGTAATGTTAAGCATGTTATAGGTACAGACTTCAAATTCAAAGGTTTATCGGTGTCCAAAGTGGAAAAAGGTACAAAATGCATCTTTTTTCCTGTTTCAAGGCCGATAACTTCTGAAAATCAAGCCTGAACCTAAAACATGCTTAACATTTTTTGTTCATCTTGTTGAGGTGAACGCGTTTCTGAAATCGAATTGTTTCTATCGCATATTTAAAATTTTGACTTAAAAACAAAACTTACTGTACGTACGGAGTCTAAACAGTTTCCATGGTACCGTGAATTCAGGTCCCCATGAGGCAGGCGGAGTGAGATGCCAGGTCAAAACCAAGATATTTCAGGCAACAAACTAGACGGACATGCACGGCGTCGCATCGCTCGTTGCAAAGTCTGCCTCAAAACACTAGTGTGGCCATCACTGGCTGTGCACTGTTTTGCCTGCCCAGTACTGGCCACCACCCCTTTTCCCTCAAATGTAACGAAATTTCAAAAAAACTTGCATGTTATGGTTAACTTGCCCTCTTTCGATTCTTCTGACGTGATGTTTCTCTTGCACGGACCTCGTATTCACAAATGACAAGCGACGCCGTTAAAGCCTGCGCTAATCTGGGCCGGTAAGGAAAGCAACGTTCGACCGGCCGAGAACGCAGTGTTCAGCGCGCTGCGCCCGTGCGGCCGTCCCTAACACTAAAAAGCTGAAATTTTTTCGGCGTTGTGTTGTCAATATGTGACAGTACAAAACCTCAAAAGCTCAATTCTTTAACTAATCTCGCCTGGTGGGAAAGTCAGCGCAAAGTGTGAAGTGGCCATCACTGGTACCCTGGCCATCACTGGGCACGTTACCCTACCTTATAGATATTTTGATGAATTTCGTTGGTATTATGGAGAAAATCTCCCCCATAATATGTTGGTGCAGCCTTTCACCGTAACACATTTACTGTGTACTAAAATGTATCACCTCAAAAATGGTCATACACGCATGTATCACCGAAAAAACAGTCGTACACAAATGTATCACCGAAAAAAGGGCGATACTTCCCCAGGAAAACAAGGGCCAATCTCGCTGATGTCTTACACTGTTAGAAATTAGCTCCGAAATTTTATGGAGAAAAACCCTATAATCACGTACATGGAGACTCCATTCATTTTCCATCTTTTTTCGGAGAGATTTTCTCAGGGCTTAAACAGATGTTGTTCGGAGCATTACTTGGGTCCTGATGGGAGGTAAAATGCATGTCTTTTCTCAGAATGGTTAAAGAGGGCTTCGCTGAAGCATTCTTTAGTCTGAAATGGTCAAAGAAGGGACAATCTTTTTCGAGCTCATTTGACTTATATCCTGGAGCTTTCCCTTGAAGCATGCATCTTTGTTCAAAATTCCGAAAATTTTCGGAGAAAGCCCAGAATTTGCATTTATGGAGAGGTCCATGCAAAAGTTTCGGAAAAACTCCATGATTTTTCCATTTTTTTTTTTCGGAATTTTCTGACAGTGTACCTTTTTTCGGCGATACATTTGTGTATGTACGACCTTTTTTCGGTGATACGTGCGTGTACGACCTCTTCGATTGCTCCCATACTCTGGGATCTTCAAGGCCACCTTAAACAAGCTAGGGCCCGCCCTTTCGTCGAACCGAGTTGCCAGCTCCGCTTCGCTGCGCCGGCAACTCGATTCGACAGGGGGCCGGCCCAGCTTGGCCTGCCGGTGGCCTTTCCTCGGGCCTTCGGCCCTCGCATCAGACCCAACTTGGCCAGTCGAAGGCCCGGGCCTTCGGCCCGCTCGCATCACACACCCCGTGAGCGGGTAAAGCAAAGTTATCGATGTACCATCGTGACTTAGGCCCGCCCTTCTATTCACAATATGCAAAAGTCCTTACACTTTTTACTCCAACTGTCCTTAGAATATGCCCATTTCATTTGTCTCTTAGCCCTCATTCCGAAAATACCCATATTTGCCATGCTACTGCAACTCCTTGAAATAGAGGCCCAGCAGGAGCGCAAAACGAGTCCGTCGCACTTTTCCCCATAACTCATGAAGGCGGGCTCCTGGACCCCCTTCCGACCCCTCGTTGAAGAGGTCTTGCCAAGACCTATCCAAAACTTACGTAAAAAATTTCAGACGGTCGACCCCCTTTTTTCAAGATCCTGATGTGACTAATAGACGAAGTCGGGCTCCTGGATTCTCCCCCCCCCCCCCCGACTCCTCGCTGAAAAGGTCTTGCTGAGACCAATCGAAATCTGCAATAAATTTTTTTAGTCGGGCGAACCCCTTTTTTGAAGATTCTGATCTGGCCAACTTGTAAAAGCGGCCGATGGGGTCGGGACCAGGTCCAATCATCTTGTCCCGTCGCCCCGATTCCAAAAATACCCCTATGTGCCCTGCTAGCACCAATAATGGCGGAAATTCCCCCTCCCGGTCATGTAAACCATGATGCACCTGCAGCAGCCCTTGTGCGACCCGGACGGGATTTGAATACAGACGCCAACGACGACAACAACAACACACAGACACAAAGGCAAATGCATAGCCCCCCCCCCCCCTATTTTTTGAATAGAAGGGCGGGCCAAAAAGAAGTTTCGGCACCCACAGTTCGTGCTGAAAGTCACTGAAACGACTTGGTCAAAAACATAACTAAATTTTCTTTCCGAAGATTTTTTTCTTTTTAGGGGACAAATATGTTTTAGCTCTAAAATAAAAAAAATCTTTTATTGTAGACGTTAAAAACTTCTTGGAAATTTTTATTTTGGGTTAAAATCAGTTTTTGGACATATTTATGAAAATTGGTCAATTTTCAACTTTCATCTGGAGGCTTTGTAGTGACTTTCAGCACGAACTGTGGGCGCCGAAAATTCATTTCCGTGGTGACCTTGAAGATCCCGAAGTATGAGATCAATCGGTTTCAAACGCCTGAAAACGTTCCCTTGTGAGCGTGAGCAAACGTCAGTGCTCAGACATTCAGACATTCAGACATTTTTCGGGTTTCGACTGAACGGCTCTCGGCAGACGATGGTGGTAGATTCTTGATCTAGGAGGCCTTCTGAGTTCACGAATAACCTTATCAGTAGTTCGCGGGAAGAAAGCACGTAACTAAATTATCAGAAGGGCGAGCAACCATAGAAGCACGTTGTTAAATACACTACACGTGTGGTCACGTACACGACCAATGACGATTGTATTGACGAGCACTGCACGTCAAATTTTACACACGACTGAACTCCCCACGGACTCACGGAAGCTATGTTGAAACAAATGTGGTATTCGCCAGTAGTTCAGGTTGAACTCTTGCGGCGACCTCCGATTCATCCTGAGAAGGATTATTTAAAAAAGCAGGACCTGACATCGACCCCCTTGGATTGTCGCGATTTTTTTCTCATTTTGTACATTTTGCAGTGAATTTGGGTTTTTCTTGCTACGCAGCGAATTTTTGGTCAAGAGACATGAAATTTTGTTTTCCGGCCTAAAATTGAATGAGAAAACCGACTAGCACAACAGATTTGAGCAAGAACAAAAACAAAGCCGATTTCATGATGAAAATTTGAAATTTGAAAGCACATGTAATTATTTCTCTCTCCTGATAAATGAATTGATTTCTGAAATGCGCTATCTGCTGTCAATGGCATTTGCTGAGCTATTTAAATTTGTGACGTATGGTGTAGCACCATCATCACATGCAAGTTACATGTCTTCTTCTGGGGAGCAAACGAATATGGGAACCCACGTGTGCAGTTAAGTAACTAAATGAGTCAATATGATTCCATTATTTCCTACTGTGATACTGTGGGCAACACCGCAGAGCCTGGGTTACCTGACCCTAGCAGGAAATAAGTCCTCTATATCTGAAAAAAAAACAATGATCACCCAAGGGAAGAAAACATAGTTCACATTCATCTTGAATTCGTGGTAAAACTGGTTTATTAAAGCCATCATCCCTCAAACATATACTTTTGTGTATTAAAGCCGAACAGGCATTGTTTAACACTTCGGACTTTGGTCCAGTCTTGTTAGTCTCCATGAGGCAAAATGCATGATTCACACAGCATACACTGACAATGGAGCTTGACGTCA